AAAAGTCTTTATATTTAAAAAATAATTTAAAATATTTAAATGTTAATGTTCAAATATATAGTTATTTAAGTACTGCTTAATTTATAATATTATACCTGAACATTTAGAGAAAAGTATCCTTTTCGATTGCGATATACTTCATTAATATGTTGAAACCTCGTATGAGTTAAGCGAATATGTGAACAGTCTATCGCTCCATCAATCGAAGGAAGACCAATCCCTCCAGGACCACGTCCAAGTTCTTTGAACGAACGTCTGTTTTCAGAGCGTGCTTGATCAGATGTTGGCATTTTTATATATGTTTTCATGTTACTTGCTATTAAACTAGAAACTTGAAATATAATTCGTGATATTGTAGACTGTGAAATTGTATTACATCACCTACAACGAGCTGCAAAAATAAATTATATACTAATTTAATTATATTCATATTATTTAAAAAACAATAAACAAAATAATAAAAATATTAGGCCAAATTAACAAGTTTATTGCTAATAACAACTCCATATTAATGCAGTTGTTATTAACAATAAACATTTAGGCTCTATAGGAATAAAATAAATATGAGTGAAGGGCAAAGAGCTAATATTGGTTCTTTGCCCTTCACTCATATTTATTTTAATAAACATTTAGATTCATTAAAGTTATATCGCTCGTTAATTTGACCTAATATTCTTATTTTGTTTATTTGACAAAAACAAGCTTGTTTTTGTTAAAAAATAATTTAAAAATACATTTATGGAAATAATTAAAATTAACATTTATTGAAAAAGATACATACACACACATATATTTATATTTACGCATATATCTACTTGTTTCAATAAATGTATCTTCAAATTACTCATTTTTTAAATAAGAGTAATATATATACTAACCTGAAAGCTTGCTGTTGCGTAAAATCTTAAACATATCAATAATTGTAAAACCGGAGAGATTGGCAAACCGCGATTGTTAATTTTTGCTAATCCTTCCTCTATTAATGGTAAAATACCAAACATTACGGAATCTTTTGAAAATCGAAATCTTTTCTTAAATTCTCGTTCATTAAAAAATTCGAACGGATTTTGTTTATCACGAAGATACCGTTTTGGTGCACGAAGTACCATTTCTTCATCTCCTTCTTCTTCATTAAAAAAATTAATATCTTGGATTTCTAAATTTGCTAAATCCATTATTAAATACAAATGTATTCCTTTTTTTACACAATTTGTTATCAGAAGGAATCAGAAAATAATTTTTTTGCTGCTTTCGCAATCTTAGTAGCTGCTACCAAGATGATCGAGAATTTGAACGAACTCGATGCATCCTTCCTTTTGGCCTGTACCAAACGTGACAGCCGTCCTTAGGTATTTCTTGATGAAGGGAGCAAATTTCTCGCTGTCGGCCTTATAATCGAGACGATGTATTTCTTGATAGCTCCTGCATGGATAGAATTGTAATATAGCTTCATGCGTTCCAATTTCCAATTTTTGTTGCTCTGGGCTATATATGGAATGACGGAAAATGGAAAATTGTTCTAATCTCAAACCGCAAGTTTTGGAAATCGAAAAATTAATTTTTATTATTTTGCAAAAATCTAATTTCTGAACTAGAAAGAATCCATAAAAAAGTGAAATTTGTATGTATTTTTTGTTATGTTAGGCGATAATAAAGAAATTTTCTAAATTGAAAATTAATTTGAGGTTAGAATGGTTTTCTGTTTTTTCTACAAGTCCGAGGGAAGCACAGCCATTGAAAAATAGGAAATTAGAAGTATCATAAAAGATTTAGTTTTCCGAAATTCCAAAATCGTCACAGCACCTTACCTTTACGATTCTTCAGCTCCTTGATGACATTTTACTGTTTTATTGATAGGCTTACAACTTTGCTTAAGTCTACTTTGACCACGACTTGACGAAGATCGTCTTGTTTAACTGTACATACGTCATATAAGATGTCTTATAACGACTATGAATTCATGACTAATAAGATAGTCTTAAGTCTGTTCTTATTTCGTAGAAGATCGGTTTATGAATCATGTCAAGACAACTCAAGACGTTTCTAAACAAGATCGTCTTGGACAAGTCTCGTCTTCAGATTTTACTCAAGTATTTACTTGATTTATGTCTATGAATCTAGAGGGCATCTTAAGACTATGCTTAAGATGATCTTGAAAATAAGCTTTGACTATGAATACGGCCCCTAGATATCTATGGGTGCTTTCCAGCAAGGACACAATCAAACACAGTGTAACACAGTGAATCGTTTCATCCTTGTTTAACGTAAGCAAACAACAAGGACGTTATGATTCACTGTGTTACACTGTGTCTGACTGTGTCCCTTGCTGGAAAGCACCCAGTGTTACACTGTGTCTGACTGTGTCCCTTGCTGGAAAGCACCCTATGATAGAACCGCGCCATTACAGAAATTTTGTCTGCGGTGGCTCTTTTTACGGCTGCTAGATTCACACTGGTGCGTCGTACGATATTCTGCAACCAATCAGAAAGTAGAATTTTATTTTGTATCGATGATACTGGGTGCTTTCCAGCAAGGAACACAGTCAGACACAGTGGGTGCTTTCCAGCAAGGACACAATCAAACACAGTGAATCGTTTTATCCTTGTTTAACGTAAGCAAACAACAAGAACGTATGATTCACTGTATTACACTGTGTCTGACTGTGTCCCTTGCTGGAAAGCACCCAGTGTAACACAGTGAATCATACGTCCTTGTTGTTTGCTTACGTTAAACAAGGATGAAATGATTCACTGTGTTACACTGTGTTTGATTGTGTCCTTGCTGGAAAGCACCCACTGTTACGTCTCAAGGGGGCACCGGCCGGCTTCCGGTATCGGCGCTATCCTGAGGCTATGGTGGGATGTTAATTCGCGTTTCGAGCGATAAAATTTCCGCGATGAGATTTGTCCAGCCCACTGATTGGCTACAGCCGGGCGCTAGATCTCGCGACTGTGGTTGGTTCTGTTTCGATCCACGGGCTTTCTCCCGTCTCTTCTAGATAAGCGATGAATCTAATTAATATTTCAGGGCAATCAGGACAGCTCGCGACAGCATGCACCGTGACAGTACCGAACATACGCTGCAGGACTCGAATCTTTCAACGGCTCCCAAATGAATATAATGCCGTAAGACTCCCTGACAGTTTCCCTTTTCATGCGCTGGCGCGGAAGTATAACATTCGGGACATTTAATAGTGCCGTCTTCTTTGTGTTGGAAAAATAATGCGGAAACGCAACATGCACTATTCAACCACGTAGAATATGGTCCAATCGCGAGAATTCGGGCGTCTATCGAAGCGCGCGCTCGCGGGTGTAAAGGACACATGCTATACGCGGTTCGCGGTTGACGGATTCGATTGGCGGAAGGTAAGGCAAATTACGTACCTGGTGAGCCCTTCCGTCGAGTGTCCGCAGGTCCTCTCCGTGCGATTCCAAAGGTCAGTGGTTGGAGGAGAAAGCTTCTCTTCTTAGTCCAGTGCCCTGGCG